AAGTCAACAACCTCACCCACAACCCGAGCTATAAATCTTTGCTAAAACTTCAGTATTAAAAGCTTGTAAAGCGATGGTTTCCCATTCGAACGGAGGCCTTGCACTAGGAATGACTCGGTTATACTTTATTTCCAAATGTTTCAAAGAATGTTAATTGAAAACAAAACATGCTGGAGATCACAACACGTCAGGCAGCATCCAAGTAGAGAGAGCAAGCTAACATTTCGAGTCGAGATGACTCTTCATCAGAGCTGAAATGAAGTGTGGGAACAAAAGCATTTGTGCAATGGTGGGAGGGGGAGATATTGGATGTCGATAGTACAGACTAAGTGATCGGAATGTGGGAACAGCAGAACAATGGTGTGTCTAACTGCCAGACTGGAAAGAACACACAGTCAAACTGGGGAAGGGGAAGGGGAAGGGGAGGGAGGTTGACAGAGAATGTAACATGTAAGCTAAAAGAAAGGGAAGGAATGGGTTCACAATTTGAAGGTGCTGAACTTAACATTGAGCCCAGGAGGTTGTAAACTGCCTAGTTTGAAGATGAGATGTTGCTCCTCCAGTTTGTACTGTGGTTCGCTGGAGCATTGCAGCATGCCAAGGACAGATAAGTGGGTATGTAAGGATGACGCTATGTTAAAATGACCGGCTACGGGAAAGTCAGGGTCATCCTTGCACACAGACCAGAGGTACTCTGCAAGGCGGTCACCCAGTCTGCGCTTAGGTTCTCCAATGTAGAGTAGGCCACACTGGGTGCAGCAAATACAATACATCAGATTAGAAGAGGTACAGGTGAAACGCTGCTTCACCTGGAAAGACTGTTTAGGCTGTTGGATGGTGAGCAGGGAAGAGGTGAAGAGGCAGGTGTTACACCTTCTATGCGCTGTGGGAATGGTGTGTGGTGTTGGTGGTCAAGGAATGGACTGGGGTGTTCTGGACGGAACGATCCCTGCAAAACGTTGGCGAGAGAGTGAGTGGATGATGTGTTTAGTGGTGGCCTTCTGCTGGAGCTGTCTTAAATGGCGAAGAATGATCCTTGAGTGGAGGCTGGTTGGGTGAAAACAAGGAGGACCTGATCACGCTGTTGTGAGTGATGGCAAAAGGCAAGGATGGAAGCACGGGTGATAGGTCGAATGTGGTTGAGGGCCCTGTCAATCACAGTGGGCAGGAAACCATGGTTATAAAAAAATTAAACCATGCCAACACCGCTGTTTTGGGAAGTGGCATTATCCGACATAGGCAAAGGAACTGGGAGAATGGAATGGAATCCTCACAGGACGTGGGGTGTGAAGAGCTGTAGCAAAGATAGCTTTGGGGGTCAGTGGCTTTGTAGTGGATGGCACTGGACAGTTTATTCCCTGAAATGGAGACGGAGAGGTCAAGGAAAGGAAGGGAAGCGTCGGAAATGGATGATGTGAAAGTTTTAGAGGGGTGGAAATTGGAGGCAAAATATACAAATCTTTCATGGAGCATGAAGTGGCACCAAAACAGTTGTCGATATCCCAAGGAAAAAGTTGTGTGAGGGTGTCAGTGCAGGACTTGAATAAGGATTGTTCCACATACCTCATAAAGAGGCAGGTATAAGTGGGACCCATGTGGGTGCCCAGAGCCACTCCTTTGACTTGACAGAAGTGAGATGAATTAAAAGAGAAATTGTTCAGTGAGAGAACAAATTCAGCCAGGCGAGGAGAATAGCGGTGGATGGGGATTGTTCAGGCCTCTGGTCGAGGAAGAAGCTAAGAGCTCCCAGACCATCCTGGTGGGTAATGGAAGGAGAGGGATTGGATATCCATGGTGAACAGGAGGCAGTGAGGGCCAGGGAACTGGACATTGTCAATACGGCAGAGGGTAGCAGAGGAAACGTTGACGTAGGTGGGCAGGGTCTGGACAAGTGGATAGAGGTTGCGTCAAGGTAGGAGGAAATGAGCTTGGTGTGGAAAGAGCTGGCTGATATTATGGGCTTACTGGGCCAGTCCAGTTTGTGGATTTTGGGAAGGAGGTAGAAGCGGACTGTCTGGGTTTGAGAGACTACAAAATTGGAGGCAGTGGGAGGAAGATTTCCGGAGTTGGTGAGGTCGCTGACAATCCTGGCAACGACTTGATGTTCGGATATGGGGTCATGGCCCATGGGACGGTAGGAAGAAATGTCCGAGAGTTAGCATTGACCCTCTGCAAGGTAAGGATCAGTGCACCAGACTACAGCAGCACCACCTTTGACGGCAGGTTTCATAACAAAGTTAAGGTTGGTCCTGAGAGAGTGAAGTGTGGCACTTTCACAAGAGGACAGGTTAGAGTAGCGAGAGGAGCAGAGAAATTGACACAACCGATGTCACGCAGACAGTTTTCTATGGAGAGATTGAGGGCAGGTAAGAAGCCAGGGGACGGGATCCTAGTGTAGGGTGAATACTGCATGGGAGGAGGAAAAGATCATTGGAACAGGGTAGGGGAGGGGGCACGTTATCCTGCCCAAAGAAGTGAGTGCAGAAACAAATGCGGTGGAAAAACAGTTCGACATCATAGCAAGCCCGAAATTCATTAACGTGGGGAGGTAGGAGTGTGAAGCTGTGTCCTTTTCGGAGGACAGTATGTTCAGCCTCAGAGAGGAGAACGTCAGTAGGCATGGTGAAAACATGGCAAAGGCTGGAGTTGCGGGGAGTAATCTCCGGGGGACAGAAAGGGATGGCATCACTGCGCTGGGAAGGGGTGGGTGCTAAAGGATAGTAAGGCTCTGAGTGATGGGAAAGGATGGCGTCCGAGAGGCAGAAAGGGAAAACGGTGCAGGATGGGTGCTGGAGTCCATATGTTGCTGGAGCTTGCATGCCTTGATGCCTGAAAGAAAGAGAAAATGCCTTTTGTCAAGGTGAAGGATGAGACAAAGGATGAAGTGAAACTGGGGAATGGCACAGCTTTGACAGATGGTGAGTTCATGTTGCTGTAGAGTGGTTGTAGACTGGCGTACTGATCTTTACCTTGTGGAGACTCAACACAACTCTCAGACACTTCTTCCTACCGCCCTCTGGATTATGACCCCACATCCGAACAACAAGCCATTGTTGCCAGGACTGTCACCAACCTCATTATCTCTGGAGGTCCTTCCCCCACTGTCTCCAACTTTATAGTCTCCTAACCCCGGACAGCCCATTTCTACCCCCTTCCCAAAATCCACAAACCAGACTGCCCCAGTAGGCCTATTGTATCAACCTGTTCCTACCCAGCCGAACTCCTACCTTGACTGCAACCTCTGTCCACTTATCCAGACCCTGCCCACCTACGTCCATGATTCCTCTGATACCCTCTGCCGCATTGACAATTTCCAGGCCCTAGCGGCCTCCTGTTCACCATGGATTTCCAATCACTCTATACTTCCACTCCCCACCAGGATGGTCTGAGAGCTCTCGACTTCTCCCTTGAACAGAGGCCTGAACAATTCCCATCCACCACCACTCTCCTCCGCCTGGTCTCTCACTGAACAATTTCTAATTCGCCTCACTTCAGTCAAGTCAAAGGAGTGGCTATGAACATCCGTGTGGGTCTCAGTTCTGTCTGCCCCTTTATGGAGTATGTGGAACAATCCCTGTTCCAATCCTACACTGGCCCCCTCCAACAACTCTTTTCTCAGTACATCAATGACTGTTCTGGTGCCGCTTCGTGCTCTTGCCTGGACCTTGAAAGATTTGTTCACTTTGCCTCCTATTTCCACCCCTCTATAACTTTCACATCATCCATTTCTGACACTTCTCTTTCTTTCCTTGACCTCTCCGTCTCCATTTCGGGGAACAAACTGTCCACTGCCATCCATTACAAAGCCACTGACTCCCATCGCTACCTTCACTACAACTCGTTACACCCCATGTCCTGCAAGGATTCCATCCCATTCTCTCAGTTCCTTCATTAATGTTGCATGTGTTCGGACGATGTTACCTTCCAAAACAGTGCTGCTGACACGGCCTCTTTATTCCGTAACCATGGTTTCCCGCCCACTGTGGTTGACAGGGCCCTCAACTGCATCTGACCTATCACCCATGCTTCTGCCCTTGCCCCTTCCCATCACTCACAACAGCGTGATGGGGTCCCTGTTATTTATACCCCACCAGCCTCCGCATTCAAAGGATCATTCTCCGCCATTTAAGACAACTCCAGCAGAACGCCACCACCAAGCACATCTTCCCCTCGCTCCCCCTGTTTGCATTCGGCAGGGATTGTTTCCTCTGGGACACACGAGTCCATTCCTCGATCATCAACACCACACCCCCTTCCCACAATGCCTTCCCATGTAACTGAAGAAGTTATAACACCTCTCCCTTCACCTCCTCACTGCTCACCATCCAAGGCCCTAAACAGTCTTTCCAAGTGAAGCAGCATTTCACCTGTACCTCCTCCAATCTGGTGTATTGTATTCGCTGCACCCAATGTGGCCTACTCTATATTAGAGAATGCAGACTGGGTGACAGCTTTGCAGGACAACTCTGGTCTGTGCACAAGCATGACACTGACTTCCCCGTAATAGGTCTTTTTAACACAGTGCCCTCCTCGGCATGCTGCAATGCTCCAGCGAATCACAACGCAAACTGGAGGAGCAACATCTCGTCTTCAAACTAGGCAGTTTACAACCTTCTGGGCTCAACTTTGAGTTCAAACTGTGAACTCATTCCTCCCCTTTCTTTTAGCTTTGCTTGTTACTTTCCCCAACCCCAAATCCCTCCTCCCAATGGGACTGTGTGTTCTTTCCAGTCTGGCGTTAGACACACCATTGTCCTGCCGTTCTCACATTCCGATCACTTAATCTGAACTAACAACATCCTTTCTCCCCCAGCACTCCACCCCCTCCTCCCCCATTGCATAAATGCTGCCCCTCAACACTTCACTTCAGCTCTGATGAAGAGATATCTGGACTCGAAACATTAGCTTGCTTTCTCTCCATGGATGCAGACTGACCCGCTATGATTTCCAGCATGTTTTGCTTTCATTTCAGATTCCAGCATCTGCAGTAATTTGCTCCAAGAATGTTAATTGATTTGATTTATTATTGTCACGTGTACCGAGAGAGAGTGAAAAGTATTGCATTATGTGCTATCCAGCCAATCATAACTTACATAGGTACTTCAGGGTAATATAACGGAATGCAAAATATAGTGTTACAGCTACAGAGAAGGTGCAGAGAAAGATCAACTCTAATTTATGAGAGGTCCGTTCATAAGTTTGATAAAAGCAAGGAAGAAGCTGCTCTTGAATCTGTTTGTATGTGTTTTCAAACTTTTATATCTTCTGCCCAGATCTCTGATTATGTTGGCTGCTTTCCCGAGGCAGCGGAAAGTGTAGACAGAGTCAATGGAAGGAAGATAGGTTTTCGCGATGGACTGAGCTGCATTCGCAACTCTCTGTAATTTCTTGCAGTCTTGGGTAGAGCAGTTGCCATACCAAGCTGTGATGCATCCAGATAGGATGCTTTCTAATGTGCATCTAAAAACATTGGTAAGAGTCCTTGTGGACATATCGAATTTCCTTCGCCTTCTGAGGAAGTAGGGGCATTGGTGTGCTTTTTTGACCGTAGCATCAACGTGGATGAACCAGGACAGATTGTTGGTGATATTTACTCCTAGGAACCTGACACTCTCAACCTTCTCCACCTCAGCACCATTGATACAGTCATGGGCGTGTCTTCCACTGCACTTACTGAAGTCAATGACCGGCTCCTTCATTTTGCTGACATTGAGAGAGAGATTGTTGCCTTTACAACATGTCACTAAGCTGTCTATCTCCTTCCTGTACACTGACTCATTGTTGTTTGAAATCCGATCCACCACGGTGGTGTCATCAGCAAATTTGTAAATGGAGTCAGAGCTGATTTTGCCACACAGTCGTGAGTGTATAATGACTATAGTGAGGGGCTGAGTATGCAGCCTTGAGGGGCATTGGTGCTGAGGATTATTGTGGAGGAGGTGCTGTCGCCTATTCTTGCTGATTGTAATCTATAGGTCAGGACATCAAGGATCCAATTGCAAAATGGGGATCAGAGTCCTAGGTCAAGGAGTTTGGAGATGAGTTTGATTGGAATTATGGTGGTTAAGGCAGAGCTAAAGTCAATAAATAGGATTCTGATGTAGATGTCCTTGTTATCAAGATGCTCCAGGAATGAGTGTTGAGCCATTGAGATGGCATCCTGCCGTGGACCTATTGCAACGGTAGGCGAATTGGAGTGGATCAAGAAATCTGGGAGGCTGGATTTGAATTGAGCCATTGATAACCTCTTGAAGCATTTCATAACGATGGATGTCAGAGCCACCCGGCAGTAGTCATTAGGCATACTGCCTGATTTCCTTTGGCACTGGTCTTCTTGAAGCAGGTGGGAACCTCACATAGTAGTAAAGAGAGGTTAAAGATTTTAGTGAATGCACCCACCAGTTAGTCCCTGCAGGATCTGAGTGCATGGCTGGGGACTCCATTCGGGCCATTCACTTTCCATGGGTTCACCCTCAAGAAAGCCGATCTAACGTCTGTGGCAGTTACTGCGGGTACAGGTGCTCCCAAAGCTGTCGGGGCAGGTGATTTTGTTTCACTGACCTTCAGTTCAAAACGAGCAGAGAATGCATTGAGCTCGTCAGGGAAGGGTGCATTGTTGTCAGCAATTCTCCTCGACTTTGCTTTGTAGTCTATTATATCGAGTAAAGTTGACAGTTGACATGAGTTTGTGTGGTTAGTCTGGGACTCCAGTTTAATTTGGTATTGTCCCTTGGCATCCCTGATGGCTTTGCGAAGATTGTGTCTGGATTTAAGAACATGAACATAGAACAAGATCAAACTACCCTGCATACCCTACATTTTACTATCATCCATGTGCCTATCCAAGAGTCGCTTAAATGTCCCTAATGTATCTGACTCCACTACCACCGCCGGCAGCGCATTCCATGCACCCACCATTCTCTGTGTAAAGAACCTACCTCTGACATATACCTTTCCCCTATACCTTTCTCCAACGCCTTAAAATTATGCCCCCTCGAAATAGTCATTTCCGCCCTGGGAAAAAGTCTCTGGCTATCCACTCTATCTGTGCCTCTCATCATCATGTACACCTCTATCAAGTCACCTCTCACCCTTCTTCGCTCCAATGAAAAGATCCCTAGCTCCCTCAACCTTTCCTCATAAGACCTGCCCTCCAGTCCAGGCAGCATCCTGGTAAATCTCCTCTGCACCCTCTCTAAAGGTCCTACATGCTTCCTATAATGAGGTGACCAGAACTGAACACAATATTCCAAGTGTGGTCTAACCAGGGTTTTATAGAGTTGCAGCTTTACCTTGCGGCTCTTAAAATCATTCCCCTGCCAATGAAAGCCACCACACCATATGCCTTCTTAACAACCCTATCAACTTCGGTGGCAACTCCGAGGGATCTACGGACATGGACCCCAAGATCCCTCTGTTCCTCCACAATGCCAAGAATCCTGCCATTAACCCTATATACTGCATTCAAATTCCACCTTTCAAAATGAATCACTTCACACTTTTCTGGTTTAAATTCCATCTGCCACTTCTTTGCCCAGTTCTGCTTCCTGTCCATGTCCCGTTGCAACCTACAACAGCCCTCCACACTATCCACAACTCCACCAACCTTCGTGTCTTCAGCAAACTTACTAACCCACCCTTCCACTTCCTCATCCAAGTCATTTATAAAGATCACAAAGAGCAGAGGTCCCAGAACAGAACCCTGTGGAACACCACTTGTCACCGAGCTCCAGGCTGAATACTTTCCATCTACTACCGCCCTCTGTCTTCTATTGGATAGCCAGTTTTGTATCCAGACAGCCAAATTTCCCTGAATCCCATGCCTCCTTACTTTCTGAATGAGCCTACCATGGGGAACCTTATCAAATGCCTTGCTAAAATCCATATACACCACATCCACTGCACTGCCTTCATCAATGTGTTTTGTCACATCCTCAAAGAATTCATTAAGGCTTGTGAGGCATGACCTGCCCCTCACAAAATCATGCTGACTATTTCTAATCAAACCTTGCTTTTCTAAATAATCATAAATACTATCTCTCAGAATCCTCTCCAATAGTTTGCCCACCACAGAAGTAAGACTGGTCTGTAATTCCCAGGATTATCCCTATTCCCTTTCTAAAACAAGGGAATGACATTTGCCACCCTCCAATCATCTGGTACTACTCCAGTAGACAGTGAGGACGCAAAGATCATCACCAAAGGGGCAGCAATCTCTTCCCTCGCCTCTTGTAGTCACCTTGGGTATATCCTGTCTGGCCAAGGGGACTTATCTATCCTCATGTTTTTCAAAATTTCTAGCACATCCTCCTTCCTAACATCAACCTGTTCGAATATATCATCCTTTTTCACACTGTCCTCACAAATGTCAAGGTCCCTCTCACTGGTGAATACTGAAGCAAAGTATTCATTAAGGACCTCTACTACCTCCTCTGATTCCATGCACAAGTTCCCTCCACTATCCCTGATTGACCCTACCCTCACTCTGGCCATCCTCTTGTTCCTCATATAAGTGGGGAATGCCTTGGGGTTTTCCTTAATCCTACCCACCAAGGCTTTTTCATACCCCCTTCTAGCTCTCCTAAATCCACTCTTCAGTTCTTTCCTGGCTACCTTGTAGCCCTCTAGAGCCCTGTCCGATCCTTGCTTCCTCAACCTTAAGCTTCCTTCTTTCTCTTGACCAGATGTTCCACATGTCTTGTCATCCACGGTTCCTTCACCTTACCAGCCCTTCCTTGCCTCAGTGGGACAAACCTATCCAGTACTCGTAGCAAGTGCTCCCTAAATAATTTCAACATTTCCTGTATAGGTCAGGGTCATCCAACTTCGATGCCTCAGACCTAGACTTCAGTAGGGAATGGATGTCCCACTTCATCTGTAGTTTTGAGATGGGCAGCACTCGGATTAACTTCTTTGGTATGCAGTCCTCTACACATTTACTGATGAAGTCTGTGACGGTAGTGGCATATTCATTTAGGTTGGCCACTGAGTTCTTGAAGATGTGTCAGTCCATCAACCTCAAACACTCACATAGGAGCTCGTCCATTGCCTCAGACCAGCACTGTGTGACTTTACTGTATAGGATCCTCAGGCTTCAGTTTCTGCTTGGTCTGATTTACCAAAATGTGGGCAGGGAATGGAGTGACAGGCATCTTTGCTGGTTGTGTAGCTGTGGTCCAGGATGTTTCAGCCTCTGGTGCGACAAGAGATATGTTGGTGGTATCTTTGTACCACACTCTTGAGGTTGGCCAGGTTACAATGAACAAGGCCTCCGGGTATTCTTTCTCAAGGCTGTTTGTAGCAGTGTATATTTCATCAAGTGCATTCTTCACTTCCACATTCACTGTCACAATAGCAGAAGAAAACTCCCACAGCACATGGTAGAGACAACATTTCACCGTTAGATATTCTAGGTCTGGGAGCAGTAACTCACTAGCGTCACCACATCCAAGTACCAAGAGTTGTTGATCAGGAAGCAGACTCCTCGCCTTTGCCTTTCCCAAGGATGCCCTGCAGTCCATCCATGCATTGAGAAACCCTTGGGTTGTAAGGCGCAGTCAGGTAAAGCAGGAGTGAGCTATGTCTCTGTAAAACAGAGCACGCAGCAGTGTCTCAGGGCAAGTTCTTTTAAATTTTAAAAACTGTCCTCTCTGAAACTAGCTGTGTTTTATGTTTTATAAGGAAAGAACTGAAAGGGTAATAATGTGGAATACAAATGTATTAATGTACAGTTTAGGAGCTGTAGTAGGCCACTCCACCCTCAAGTCTGCTCTGTTATATAATAAGATCATGACTGATCTGTTTGAGTTCCAAATTCCACACGCCTTTCTATCCCTGATAACTTTCCATTCCATTGCCTAACAAGAATTTGTCTACCTCCGCCTCAGAAATATTCAATAATCCCGCCTCCCCCATCTTTTGAAGCAGCAAGTTCCAAAATCGTACAAAGCTCCAAGAGAAACTTTTGCCTTGTCTCCGTCCTAAAAAGGTAACTCCAAATTTTAATATTGTGTCCCCTAGCTCTGGACTCATCCCCAAGAGGACGCATCCATTCAAGACCTTTCAGGATGTTATACACTTCATTCAAATCACTCCCCCTTAAACACCATCCCTTCCAATGATGTCAAGTAGTACCGCTGGGCGGAACATCTTGGAGTTTCAAAGGAATGATGTTTAACATCCAGGTCCTCCTCACAATTTCTGTAACAATGTTTAATATACAGCCATAGCATTTAACTAGAATTAGAATTAGAATTAAGTTTATGTCATGTACTCATGTACAGAAGTACAGGAGTACAGTCAAAAGTCTACAGTGTCACGCCTCACGGTGTTATCTCATGTATGAAGTTCCTAGACACAAATCTTAAATACAAAACAGAGAAATAAAGAAAAAAAAAGTTACATTACCTCACAGGGATTCTTAGTAAAAGTTAGAAAATAAGACATAAAGTTAAAAGGATAAACATTACAGTCAAGATAAACAGATTACAGATAAACATTACATTGCAGTAGTTCAGAGCAGGGAGTTTCCAAACATGGTCTAGCCGGGCTTGCAAGCCATTGACTGCCTGTACTAGTCTCCTCTCCAACAACTGTTTCCATGTTGCCTGGGCTTCCAGCCTGCTCTGCTCCACTCCGACATTCTGCCACTCCAAGGTAAACACAAGATATTAGTTGCTAATATGCCACAATCTGTAGCTTGCTAACCGTTGTATAAAAAAAGCTGCCCTGAAAGGACATTTGTATGGCTCCATCCACTGAAATATAGTTGTCAGTCTCTGGGAGCAGTTAGTCAAGTCTGCTGTTAAACTCAGTGATCTTAGAGTAGTCTCTACCAAGTGCAAGATGCAGTGTTACTTTCCTTATAAGGTAACAGTTAGGTCTTCATCCACTGTAACCTGCTATTTCACTCTTACATAATAAACCTTCCTTGTTACTCAAGAATGTGCCTCTGCTATTGAGGCTTCCACATGATCATCCTTTAACACTTAGTCCCCTTGCAACACTGCTTACATAATCTTTTTCTGGTTAGACAAATAAATGGTTTCCCTCTACCACATTAGACTACCACACTTATCTTGTCCTTAAAGGCTCTCACCAATTTTTATAGATGCATTCTACCTGGATGCATCAGGGCTTGGTATGGCAACTACTCTGCCCAGGACCATACAAAACTACAGAGGATTGTGAACACAGTCCAGTCCATCATGCAAGCCATACTTCCATCCATTAAGTCCATCTATTCTTCTTGCTGCCTCAGAAAGGCAGCCAACATAATCAAAGACCACTTCCAGCGCCGTTATAATTTCTTCCAACCTCTTCTGTTGGGCAGAAGACATAAAAGCTTAAACACACATACCAACAAATTCAAAAACAGCTTCTTCCCCGCTGTTATTATACTTCTGAATGGACCTTTCACATTTTGAACCATATGATGATATCATATGGACTTGTAAGCAGAACAGAATCTCAAAGGAGAAAGACCTAACAGCCATGTCCCTGTTCATAGTCTATGTAACAATGTTTACAACATCAATGTAACCTGTATTTGTTGCTAACATCTCATCAATGATTTCTTGTTCAATACAAGACTATCTTGGCCAGTAATTGATTTTCCTCTACCCAGTAGACCAAGCAGGCCCTGTAAATCTCCCACATGTAAAGAAGATGGCAGCAGAAAACCTATCACATGCTGAGTAACAGGCCCAGTTTATCCATTCATCGAACAGATTAGAGAAGAGTCAACAACATTGTTTCCAAAATGTCTCCCTTTGTACTTAATCAAGATTCTCTCCAATGAGGACTTTCCAACATGGTTGCTTTATTTCCTTCAAAATGCCCTCATCCCTTCCCCTCCCCTCAAAGTGTTCCCCTCGAGTTTACCACCAACCCCTCTAACTTGGGTATTCAAAGAAAATCCTCCTCCATTTCTATCAGCTCCTTTAATATTCTTTCTCCTTAGAATTCTTTCCCCCATGGTACCCTGGTCCACTCCTCAGTCATCCTCAACACATCATCACTTTCCGACATTGCTATGTAAAAGCGAGAGATACAATGCCTGATCTTTCAGTTCCTATTGTCTCACAATCCACGGTCCCAAACATTCCTACCAGGTGAGACAATGATTTACATGAGCATCTTTCAGCCTAGCTGACTGTAGTTGTTGTTTCACAATGTGGCCTCATCTCCACGGGGGTCAGCAAACAAGACTGGGTGTCCACGTTACAGAGCACCTCTGTTAAGTCTGTGAACATGACCCTGAGGTTTCAGTCACTTGTCCTTCTCGATCTGACTGCCATTCTAATCTCTGTGACTTTGGTCTTCAGCATTTTCCTGCAATGAATCTCAACATAAGATAAAAAGCTCAACGTAACCTTGAAGAATTTGAAGAATTGCACGTCAACTTTCATTTAAACACTTCACAGCCTTCCAGGATCAATATGGAGTTCAAGGAAGCATTATTTTTATTTGGCCAGGCAATATGGCTAATTATTCTGTCTTATATGCATTCTAGATACAACTTTTGTTTATGTCAACTTGTCTTGTTACAATCTCCTTTTGGTCTCACACCATCACCTCTATCAGTAATTAATCTCTCTGGTCTTCTAACCTATCACATACTTTCTTATTTCTTGTGCCCACCCCCACCCCTCCCCTACATTCCTCTCCCTTCTCTGTGTGCTTGCAACCTACTGTATCTCCATCTTTTTCCAGGTCTCATTAAAAGTCATCAATCTGAAACGTTAACTTCCTCCAAAATTGCCCTTATCCAAGCTTCCTGCTCCCCTGAACTGAAGTAACCGCACATCCCCTCACCACAAAGGTGTCTCCTCTCAAACAGGTACCAGGAATAGTCTAACATAATCCTTCAACAACTGAATTGTACCCTCTAGAAATCAGTCTTCCACCCGCTTTAACAGATTCCCCTTCCCCCTCAAAGAACTGATCCAGGATCCCCTTTAAATCTGTGCATCCCCCACCAAAAGGTATTCACTGCTTCACCTCCTTTAACCAGTTCTTCCCCCTCTTCCAAAATATTGACTCTCTATTGTCCTTAATTGATGTGTGACCCCAAAATAATTGGCACAAGCAGCCATTTTCCGAATGGTGTCCAATATGTAGACAGAAAGTTGTTGCTTTCACCCAGGTTCACTTGCCAGTGTCCAAACTTTGCACTGTAGGTTGTAAAGACCTTTGATTTGATAAGTCATGCCAAGACATCTTGAATAGTTGGCATGGGGTAGTGGGAAGCCTGATTGAAATCCTTTGAATGTCCTGCACATTCTGAATTTACCATTTCTTCTCACTGCTTCTGTACTGTGATTCCAGTCTATGGGAGCTGTCACTTTCTTGGTCAGTGTCTTTTCCAGCTCCTCTATCGTGTCTTTCAAGCTAGACTCAAGGGAAGCTAAAGCTTTTTGCAGCAAGTGCTGAGTTGGTCTCACAGTGTCATCTACTTTAAGTGACTATTCACCAGGAAGACGTCCAAGGTCAAAAAAAAAACTTTATAATCTGCTCGGATCTGATCAGCAGCCAATGGTGCAATGGCTAGCAAAACACTGCACATTTCTCCTGGCATGTGTAGCTAAAAGGATTTACTTAACATCTGAGACCATAAGATGTAAGAGTGAAAATAGGTCATTCAGCCCATCGAGTCTACACCACCATTCAGCTAGATAATCCTTAACTAGCCTTAAACTGAAAGATTGTTGATCTTCCCATTGCATTTTGCAATTAGAACACTGCTTTTCCCAAGCAAGAAATACTTCTTTTTCTCTGGGGCGATGCCCTCAATATTTACATCCTGTCTTCTGATCTTGTTCTTCCTGCTTGCCCTTCTACAATATCATCCCCTTTCTTCAGTATGATGTTTTTGTTCAGCTTGGACAGTCTGTCAGCATAATGAAATGCCTCATCCATTCCTCTAGCAGTCTATTGACAACCTCAGAGCTTCTGCAAATGTTTATAGCTTTCTTAAGAATACATTCCCTTCCCATTCAGCATTCCCCATTCCCGTTCCCCATCCTGCTCACATTGCAGGATCCATTATACCTAGGGCAATGTCCATGATTACTGATCAGATCATACCTGTCTTACTCATCAATATCCTTCCCCTCCTGTTAAGCTCTGATGTTTACCTGTGTATGAGTGACATTAGTAGCGGGTTCAAACCATACCTTCAAGACCTTCAAAATATCTCCAGTTTGGCTTTTCTGCTCATCAGTGAGAACTAGGGTTCAGTACAGCTGGTAGCACTGTTTCCCCCAGCCCTGATTAACAGAATTGCTAATCTTGCTTGTCCAAGTCCTTTGTTTAATTCTGTAGCTACTTCATAATTTTGTCATTCAGACTGGAAGAAATTCCAATTCTGTCTCATTTCACCACTCATTTCCACAGCACCAGAAATCAGAAAATTTACAGCCTTTCAATAGTTCAACGTTACAGACAACAGTGCTAACTTATCTTTACTATTTCTTACAGTAGCTGGCTCTCCTACAGCTTCGAAAATCTACACAACCTCAGCTGCAGACTCCCACACCATGATTCCTGTACTGTATTTAATGGCCACTTGCACTAAAGTGAAAGCAATTACAGCTGAGATCACATGGTTATGGCAAGTCACAAGTGCCCTCCCAAATACATTACACCAAACACTCTGCGACTGGATTTCTACTTAGTGTTTCCCCCTACTGGAATTAGCAGACAAACAGGGTGCAGCATTCCATGAAGAGGCTTGGTTGTTCTCTTCGACCATAGAATTCCTACAGTGTGTAAGCAGGCCATTTGGCCCATTGAACTTCCAAAGAGCAGCTGACCCAGACCCACCTCCCCTACCCTATCCCTGTAACACTGCATGTCCCAAAGCCAATACACCGAGCCTGCACATCCCTGGATACTATAGGCAATTTAGCATGGCCAATCTACCTGACCTGCACATCTTTGGACTGTGGGTGGAAACCCACACAGACATGTGGACAACCTACAAACTCCACACAGACAGTTGCTCAAGGCTGGAATCAAATTCACGTCCCTAGCACTGTGAGGAAGTAATGCTAAACACTGATCCACTGTGCTGCCCAGCAGAAGTTTTAAATGCGCTGTTAGCAACGAACCTAATTCCACGCAATACTAAAGAGTGAGATTTAGTAATGCTTGTGTTTGTATAATCCCATGCTCGGGGTAGCCTGTAATGGAAAGAAGGTAGGATTTAACTTGACAAAAGGAAGCTAAATAGTCCTGAAATATTAAAGCAAGGGAATAAACTAGAACAAATAAACCATGTGAGCCATCACTTGCAAACTGAGATAGGATGAACAGTGGAAGAAGTCACAGAATATCAAACTATGAGATTGAAAAAGGAGGCACGGGAATATTTGCATTCAGAAAGGTTACAGGTATACTTTGCAAACATAAGAAGGGAGTGACACTCCAACCACAAGCTAGTTTTGCCAATGGTGCTGCCAAGGGGGTGGAGATGAGTCAGAATCTGGACATCCAGTCCCCAAACAGAGCGAAACATGAATCTCCCACAGGATGGGCCCATACTTCTGGCACAAATGTGAAGTCAGTTCTGCATGTTCTGTTAAATGTTAGGCATATAGTTATCGGATGTGAACCCAGAGAGTGCGCAGTTTTTCTTTATTGTAGGAACATAAGACTAGGTGTAGACCATTCAGCCCTTTCAATCCATCTCACACTTCAATAAAATCGCAATTTTATAACTCAATCTACTGTTATTATTGAGAGCCCAGTGATTTTGACCAGCCCGTTCAGTTTACAAACACAAATCAGCCTGTCTGCTCTCTTTTCTGACCTGTATGATGATCAAAGAGGCCATCAACATTTACTGTGGACATTTTTGCACTATCTAAAAGTCACTAACATCAAAAGGAGATGTGATAGAATGGATCCAGGCAGTAAATATCTGCACTCTCCCCTTCACCATCTAACAGCTGTATTTTTTCATTCTGAGCACAGAGTGAATTGGCAAATATTCTCACAGTGTACAGAATAAGGAGCCCATAGCGACCAAAGCCACAATGATCATGTGACCCTGGGTCATGTCAGAGGTCAAGATGTCATGTCATGGATCTCCCATTCAGTGGGAGATCAGGCTAATCATTTTGGGCCTGAGCTGCTGTTACAAGAAGCTACACAAAGAATTTGATCTTTCTTTTTTGATAATGGGCTTTGAAACATTACAAGCCAAGTGCAAGCAATAAAATAATTGGAACTGAACTGGGCCAAATAGAACTGAATAGCTGAAAGATATTTATTTCTTCCAATGCAGTAGGCAGCTCTGTGACACTAGGCCAGGAATTGATAATGATTGATAACCGTCCATTAAAATGAAACTCCACAATGCTGGTAAAATTCGACCTTATTCAAAGGCAATTGAGATGGATGCTATTTTGCTGAGAAAATGTTGTGGTTAGTTATGTAGGCTATCACGTGTGGGTAGCTGACTGCTCAGAGCCAACCATGTGAATCAGATGAGTTATTATAATTGGATGATTAGAGCAGCTACTGGTGAGGAAGGAGTCCTGGAACAGATGGTCACTCAGCTTTGGCTGAAGCAGATTGCATCAGACATCTTGTAGTTAAACAGCACATTTAGCAGACGAAAATATTTAAAGGCACAACACAGTGTATAATGTGAAACTGAGCCGCGTGAGGTTCTATCAGGACAATTCATCAAAGACTTGGATGAAGAGGTAGGTTTTAAGAAGAAGATAAAAACAGTGACAGAGCGAGAGGGAACTCCAAGCCAACAGCCTGGACAGCTGATGATAGGACCGCCAATTGTAGAGCAAATGAAATGGAGATACCTAAGTGTCCACAGTTGAGAGAGTGCAGAAACCTGGGAAGGTGCTAGGACTGGTTAGTTACAGATTTAGAGAAGGGAAGGTGCATGGAGGGATTTGAAAAGGTGCATGAGAATTTTAAGTTTACATCAGCGATGGACTGGGAGCTTGCATAGGCCGCTGAGCACAGGCTGATGGGTGAACAGGGCCGTTTTGAAGCAAATCTCAAAGGTTTGGGTGAGCCCTAAGCTCACAGAAAGTGCAAGGCGGGAAGTTGGCCACAGGCCACTGGAGCAGACCATTCAAGTGGCATGGATGAGGATTTCAGATCCAGAGGAGCCAGGGCAAGGCAGGGAATCCATGCTTGAGGTCTGAATAAGCAATCTGGGCGATGGAGAGAAACTAGGGTTGAACATCAGCTCATATCATTGAGGGTACAGCAGTCTGGATCAGTCTGAGAAGCTGAACGCAAGCTGGAAGAACAACACCTCATTTTCCACTTGACGACCCTGCAGCCCTCCGGACTTAATATTGAGTTCAATAATTTTAGGGCCTGAACTCCCCCATGTCCTAGCCCCCTACTCCACACACCAGCCCTTGTTATTACACAGTCTGCTATTACATACACCTATTGTTAGCCACTAACTGTCTCCATTAACAGTTATTCACCCTCCCAGCCAGATCATTATAAACTCCTTTGCCTGTTCTTCAATTCTTCTATCTGTTTGGGCTCTATCCCAATCTATTGTTTACTCCTTACTCCCTCCTCTAAACTATCGTCTACATATAAGCCAACATTTTCCTAGCTACCATCAGTTCTGACGAAGGGTCACCGGACCCGAAATGTTAACTTTGATTTCTCTTCATAGATGCTGCCAGACCTGCTGAGCTTTTCAAGCAATTTCTGTTTCTGTTTCTAATTTACAGCATCAGCAGGTCTTTTGGTTTTCCATATCACTTTACCACAGCATCATTCAACATGGCCTTTAGTGCTACAGGTTGGAACCTTTTGCTGAGCTAATTCCTTTATGCAGTCGAACCACTGCAAAAACAATCTCATTCTCAGGATTTAAAGTTTGCAGGTAAAGCTGACATTTATTGTCCACCCGCAGTTGCCCAGAGGAGGTAACAGTGAGCCTTGCATATTGATCACTGTTGCTGAATGCTGGAGATAAAGCAACAGTGCAATTAAGGAAGGGAGTTATCCATTTTGTGGAAATTTTAGACAATCGAATGTTTTATTAGACCATGTCAGAGGGCAGTTAATCGTCAAGGGCACTGAACTATGATTAAAGACGTCTGTCTGTTCGAGTCAATGCAAGGTCAGCAAGTAGTAACTTTCAGTCAATTTTCACTGCTCTTCAGGAGGCTGGAGGTAGCAGGTCTCCCTGAATAGTAAGGCTAATAGACCATTCAACAACCACACCTGTTGCAGTGTGGATGGTGTTGATGCCACCAGCAATACATCTGTCAGGACAGAGCTCCATTATGTGAAGATGGTCTGTTTTCGTATGGCCACTGTCCAGATTTGAGTCGTTCCTTACGTTCCACTTGAGGATCAAGTGCTCTCCCCTTCTCCTGCTTCCCCTCCTCATCCCCATCCTGCCCTCCTCTATAGTATCCACCACTCCCCTTCCCCTGCCCGCCCTCTCCTTCCCCATCCTCCCCTCCCCTTCCCCATCCTCCCCTCCCCTGCCCCTGCCTGCACTCCCCTTCTCCAGCCTCCCCTCCCCTGCCCCTTCCCCAGATGACCTCCCCTACCCCATCATGCCCTCTTCTCCCCCTGCCTACCTTCTCCTTCTCCTGCTTACCCTCCCCTTTCCTGCTTGCCCTCCTCTCCCCCAGCCTGCCTTCCCCTTCCCTTGCATGCCCTAATGCTAATGGCCATAATATCCATGAAAAGTTGAAACCTGGGACTTCCCCACTCAGGTGTTTCCTCAGGTTGTGGTTGCTGATGTCTGCAGCCACTTAGGAGATGAACTATTGGGAGATGAGGCTAATGTCAGTTTGCTGGCTGTAGATCTTGTTCTAGTCGGGACCATTAGACTTCAGATGAGTGCACTCTCAATGGAGATGTTTTGTTAGTTGTTAGGTGGTGTTCTTTAAGCAGGATGTTTTTCCTGTGGACTTCAGGAGGCTGCAGGCATATGAAGCCTCAAACTGTGTTGACCTCAATGTTCAAGAAATTATCCTTGGAATTGCCGGAGGTAAGTATCCACCACCTTGTGGCCTCCTGCGATACTCTGCAGGACGTTTCTACTCTTGGGTGGGCCAGGCCAGTGGAACAATGTAATGTGAGTTGACTCTCCTGATGCTCGCAAGTTATTGCACTGTCATCCCAAAATTGGATCTGGTTGCCAAAAGATCAATGTACAGCTAAGGGTCTTTTTTCACTGGGATCCTGGGTGAGCGGTTGGCTACAGAAATGGAAATGAAGCTCTCTCTCCCCTGGTCTTTATATTCATCAGGCTGTACAGTTGGGCATGACAGCCTTTGGATAAAAGCTTCCATTTTCTGAAGTAGGCTTCCAGATTACATGGACTCTTCAGTGAGAGCTTTCCCGATGTCATGAAATTCTATAGCCCTAGAAAACCAGGGCCAAGCTATCAGTAATCACGAAAATTGAAGACATTGAAGGATGGAGATCATTGGTATATGCGTTAAAGAGAGCCTGATGCCTGTGAGAGCCTGTTGGTTATACATGGAAGTCTGATGGCCAAGATGCACACTGAACTGTCAGTTGCTGATCATG